TTGCATGTACACTTAATGATACAAAAGTGTTTTATGTAACTTTTAAAGAGGTCTTCTTTACTTGGCAAGGTTATATTTTGACTATCTAAGCTCTAGGCATTACAGTTTGTTTGTTTGTTGATTTTTTTAATAACATCAACAACAAAACAACTTCAATGCGATTCCCTACACAAGTCTTTAAAAACTGTGTTCCTCGCGAGGGCCTTTAAATCATGTCCCTGCAGTCCAAAATGGCTTTCCCTGTGACTTAGTTTACATTGACTTATATATTAAAATTCTTCTCTCAAACTATGTGCACAGAGAAGAGAAAATATCGTATATCATAACATTGTGATGCTATATAAAGATTATAAACATAGGGTAAAAATCACTTAGTTTACATGGACTCTTATTGGAATATAGTTATATGAGTCTTCTTGTAGTTCTGAGAGCCTAGTTATTGGACATGATTCTTTAAACCATGACTGGTGAAAAAAAGATACTCCTTATATGATTTTAGCATTCTTCAGTATAAAAGAATTATAGACCTTTTCCAGCAGTGGGTCTTAGGCGCGTGATCTAGGGCCAACAATGCTCTCTTGTTTTATGGGAAAAATAAAGTAGGAATACATTTAGTATATATTCCAAAGTATAAGCTATGTTTGTTATGTGGGTCAAGCGGTTTTATTGATACCTATTTTAGCACACCTAGTCATTAGATAATATGATGTATCAGTCGCCTAAATTTTTGTTTCTTTTGAAAATATCATGTCTACATAAGTTATTAGAAATGGACGGTACTTACTCAATTATACTTGGTTACAATGATGTGCAAGTAAATATAACTTTGAATCATTCTGTTACAAGCTTTTAGCAAGACTAAATTGTGCAGGAAATAATTGTATTCATAAATAGACAACATTTCACTAAGGTCGAGGCATGATTTTATCTAACATATGGTTCGTTGATGAATATTCAGTCTTCTTTCTGTACAATTATCAAGTTATATTATGACTATTGAAACAACTTATATCATGCAAACACATTTAATAACTGAATGTATACATATAATTGTATCTGCATTTATTGATATTTTAGTACACCCTCTAGACCTGAAGGAAAACAAAAATAACTTATTACAATAAAATACTTTTACAGTGAATATTTGCATAAGAATTCTTAAAAAACGTTATTTTGTACTACAATTGTCTGATAAATTTACCCCACCCACTTTTAATAAGTATAAAACCTTCACATTTTTGTTTGTTTTTGTTACAATTATACAATAAAACATAGTGTTGATTGAATATCAAATACACTTTTAAGAAACTATGCAACTTTTGTAATTTTGTACATAGACTAGAAAACCATGTTAGAGAAAAAAATGAAAAAATGGCACTTTTTCTTTGATTTTTTTTTAAAGATTTTTTTTTTGTACAAAAAAACTAAAAACATGACTAACAATGTGGTTAACCTAAAATTTGATTTTTTTCTAATATATTTCGCAATTTTATATGGAAATACGCATACCGTGTGCAAAAAATTATACTTCAAAAGAGATATATCAGTTTTCATTAAAATTGGCAGCCATATTGGACGCCATCTTGGATTCTGAAGAAATATGCAAGAGAAATTGATTAAAGATTTAAATTTTTGAAAAGGGGAAACTATATGCATGCTTTGGTGTAAGTTTTAGGTCTGTACAAAAAATTGGAATAAATGATCTATTATGTACATCAAATTTATATGGCGGCCATCTTGAAAATGGCGGCCATCTTGAATGAGCAGAGATATTTTTAGGCCCACTTTATTTTTGAAATCTACATGGTCTAAAGATGATTTCCTGAAAGTTTCACGCTTGTATCACAATTTGCACTATTTTGACAGCAGAGACCTTATTTCCCGCCCCACTACTTAGGACAAACAATTATATGCAGTTCTCTGTAAAGTACAAATATCTTTAGGCCAAACAGTCATATTCAGTTTTCATTTGTGAGCATTTGTCTATAGGCCAGAAAGTAGTATGCAGTTCTTACTTGAACACATTGATCTTTAGGCCAAACAATAATATACACTTCTTAGTTGTATACATTTGTCTTGAGGTCAATCATATGCATGCAGTTTTCAATTGTATGCATTGGTCTTTAGGCCAAACACTTATGTATATGTATACAGTTTAATCTTTAGGCCAAAAAAGGAAAAAACATGATTGCAGTTTTTTCACTGAAAACAATGATTTTTTAAAATTTGTTTACTAAAAAAATCACATAATAAAATTTGATATATAATGGAGATTATTTTAAACCTCAAAAAATTTTAACTTTTACTGCCAAAACTATATTTTTTGGGGTTTTGGGAAAAAATAGCAAGTAACAAAAAAGTATTTTAAAATTTTTTATAGGATAAAAAAAAGTGCCCCGAAAAATGCAAATTTATACATGTACAACAAATTGGGATGGTTTTTAAATTTAAAAAACATTTGTGTTTTAACAAAAAAATTTATAAATCTTTTGGAAATTAAAAAATTTTTTTGAAAAAATTTTATGTCATGATTTGATAGTGTTTATGAAAATAGTTTTAAAAATAACCCCCACAAAGAATGAGAAATAATACAGAATGAGATGACCTTAACCTTTAACCTGCTGGAACTGAGAGCCATTTGACCTTTGCCACCAGGATAAAGCCAGACCAGACTGAATATCTGTGCAGTCTGACCAGGCTCTTTACTGTTGATAGCTCAACTCTTGTATTATTATACCTATATCTCTAAAACTTTGAATGGAATGTGCCAAATTCAAAACTGGGCAAGTCAATTTCATAAATTTAGCATGTGACAGGTTTGAGACAAAATCAACTTAAAAAGAGCAAAGGTCCATTTACTTCCATTCTTTTCATTACAAAAATTATGACATCACAAATATGAAGTAGTGGTTTTATTTGTAACATGACATATTATCACATGTATGCCAAACTATTAATTATATCACTGTATATCAGTAAATGATTGATTTACTAAGCACTGATATAAAACTGGGCTTAAATAAAAGATCTGGAAAACGTAACTGCACAAGAGCAGTTGACAAGTTACACATGCTTATATTAATTATTAAAATATTCATTTATCACATGATGTCGCTAGTACAAGTATTCAGTGTAATGTTAGCATTACACATTATTTAACATATAACTTTACACATGTTTTACATAAGAATGGCCATCATATGGTGATTTTGCATTTTTATTCACCATTTTTTTGGCTTTATAAAAACATGTGATATTCAGAATTTTACATTTTTTTGTAATTTCATAAAGAATGACATAGAATTATCACCTAAATGATATATACCTCATAAAATGCACCATTAGTTTCAATCTATTTATAACGAAATCACCCATCAGACCCTATACATATCTCTCAAGTTATACTACATATAAATAAATAAAGAATCATTGTATCAAAATAAATGCTCAGCTGACATTTATGTCATAACCCTGATGAAATATGAGTGGTCTGTTACTAATAAAACAAATTGGGACACAACATTTTAAAAACTTCAGCTTTATAACCAGTCTTGGAATGGAACACTGCTATTGGTCAATTTCAAATTTTAACTTGTCATTAACCAATCAGATTGAAAAATTTACAGACTGGGTTTCATAATTATACAAGTTTGATCACTATCTTCTTCATTTTGCAATAATGATGAAACAATTCCATGAGATATGAAAATCGTTTAAGAGTAGTATAAAATGCTATTAAAAATTAAAACACAAAAAATTGATTTGCTGACAAACCAAACTATGTAGTGAATGACTCTGTTAGTTTGATGATACCAAAGCTCTGATTAAATATCTGTCTCTTATCTTACTTTGCGATGCCTTAAACATGTACCGTATTTGCTCGCCTATAAGACAATTTAACTACTTTTTGAAAATGGTTATTCATCCGCCCGATCAGTCTATTCATTTTCATGATTTTTGACAATTTTTCCATTAAAATATAAGGTGCAGTAGTACTTTTCATTTAAACAAATTCTACCCATGTTATAAGAGGGTTTTAGCAAAAAGTGCTGTTTTTTAGTCATAATAAGGACACCCATCTTATAAGTGATCCATCATATAGGCGAGTTAATACGGTAGGCGTAATGACTAGAGTGTACTACAAAAAATAATTTATAAGTCCCTCTTTAGATTTACATACAAATGTATGCTAAACCGAAAAAAATAGCAAGTTTTGATAGTGAGTGAAATATAAACAATATCATGATGACAGTGATTGAAATATAAACAATATCACTATGATAGTGCCATATCACTATGATAGTGAGTGAAATATAAATTATATCACTATCTGTACATCATCCATACCAATCAGAGAGTAGTGAGTTTTGACAGTGAAATATAATGTATAGCGCTACATATATCATCTACTATGGAAAAAAAATGCCCATATCTATCACATTTTGAGAAAAATAGATGTTTTTCACAGTTATAGAAAATAACTCTTTTCAAAATGAAATATATTTTATATTTCACATGTACCAGTAAATGATATGTTTCATTTTCGTTTCCGAAAAAGGAAGATACAAGATTGCATAGATTAGACTATAACAGCTATTACAGCATCCTTTGTACTTTAATTCATTGAAATCAGTAAATTTATTAGTGAATTACCACCAAGTAACTTTAAGGATCCATTGTAACTGTATTTCAGGGTATTATTAGATATAACTTTCAAAATCAATATCCAAAATATTCTTATATAATTCCCTTACCAAAACATAAAAATGAAATAAATTTTCCTATGAACGTTTGACTTCAATTTAAACTTATACATTCTTCAAGATTTAGAGCTTATATTTTCTACTGTTACAATTAACTTTGGATAAACAATTACATATTCCCTCAAGATTAAATTCATAATTATGTTGTTATCTACCAAAGTGTTATTCCGACTTTCAGTCATTTATATGGCATGCTAAAATGAAAGTGCTAACTTAGTCAAGTGACATAAATCAAATTGCATCAGACCAATAACATCAATCCAATGGCATCAGACAAATAACATCAATCCAATGGCATCAGACCAATAACATCAATCCAATGGCATCTGACCAATGACATCAATCCAATAGCATCATTCTTTAATTACAATGGAATAGACAGTGCTATAACTTGGTATCTCGCACAGCAGCCCTCGGTCTGTGTAACATCATGTCCTCCACAACCTGGTGCTCCTCGGCGCCCTCGTCATTAGCCTTGGCCACAGCTAAATGGATACACTGTACCCAGGGTTCAATGTTCTGTTGACCTTTGGCCTTGAATACATAATTCTGATCGGAAGTGAATATTTCGAATGCCTTTGGAATGTCACGTATACCTTTTCTCACAGCTTTAACACTCTGTATCTCTCTAACTGGTAATGTTTCTTTTCTCTGTAAAATGTAATATCAAATGAGCCGTGTCATGACAAAACCAACATAATGGGTTTGCGACCAGCATGTTTCCAGACCAGCCTGCGCATCCGCGCAGTCTGATCAGAATCCATGCTGTTCGCTTACAGACCCTATAACAAGTAAAGAAACTGATAGCGAAAATGTAATATCAAATGAGCCATGTCACCGCCTGCGCGGTCTGGATCCATGCTGGTCGAATACCCATTATGTTGGTTTTGTCGTGACACGGCTCAAATAAATAATGTATCCAGTATAACATTATCACAACATTATGGATGCTTTGGAAATTTAGTATAATTATCATTAATCGTCACCTTAGTGCAGTAACAGAATAAGTTCTACTATATTTTGATAGGAGTTAATCAGTTATTGCACTAAGCTGACATTTGTCTCTCACTGCTGACTCAGAAATAACAAGTACTATATAAGGAGAAATTGGTAATTACTTGTAAGTTACCTCCAAAAACCTGGTTTGTTGGACTAACTGTCAAGATATGACCAAAAACATGTTAAAATCAGCATAAGAAATCCACATAAAACCAAACTAACAAATAAACTTCGGATGGTAGCAGAGCTAAAATAGAATGACTAGTATATGCCTCACAAGTCTGCAAAATCTGTGCAGTTAGACCAAACACTTTACTGCTGGCAGCTACATGTAAATCTTATAACTTTTGTCCTCTAAAAAAAATACAAAACTTACATATTTGAAATTGGATGGAAGACATATCTGTAACTTAAGTCAAAGGCAAAAGTTTCAAATATGGCACAACATGTATTAAGTGACAAAATTTAACTCTTTCCTGTATTCAGAATTATATCTGCTTTTAATTCAATTGTCTAGTTGCATTTAGACTAATAATTTACAGCTATCTTCACATTTTTTATGTACATAATCTCCCTTACAGGCAATGATTGTTTCCTCTAAAATGTGTTTGTTTTTCTGGTTTTACAATGATTTTATCACATGTTTATTGGTCATATCCTGGCAGTCAATCTACAAAATAGACATTCCTGAATAACTAAACAGTATAATTACCAGTCTCTCTGAAAGTGACCAACTACTAATTGCAACATGATTTTTGAATCTGAAGAAAGAGATAAATGAGCATTAGACTCAATGTTTGAGGTCAACTGTCATGGAGAAATAACACCTTGTTTAAAAGACACTATCCCTCTACTGAGTTTTTATCCATTTGATTCAGTGAGAACTGTAAGGTATTTATACAACATCCAGAAAAGTTTTATTTTTACACCTCAAAAGCTTTTTATTTTTCATATACTGTTACAGTTTCCAATAAGTAATATTGCTCTATTACCTGAAACAACTGTAGTTTATGTTCCTTTTTATCAATTTGTATAGAGATTAAGTATTTTTTTATTGAAGTCAAAATACTACTTTGCCTATATTTGCTGTTTTTCTGACAGATTATTTTATATTCAATACTTCTTTCTTCATGTGATTAGCATGTAATACATGTATATTCAAAATGATGTAAAGTCATGTTTATCCTTTATAAATTAGGGGGAAAAACAATTGTTCCTGGGGCATAATGTGCCTGTCAAATGAAAAAAATTTACATTTGATTATTTGCCAATACTGTCAAATCTGACACCAATTCAAGTGTTAGGAAATGAAAAGGTTTTGCTTTTTTATCGACAGGTGGCCATTTTAAATAGATAAATTTGTCATATAATTTTGAAATTGGATAATAATTTGCTTGCTTTTAGAAACATCTTTCCTATATACATTTTTATATTCAAAAGTGACTTTTATCACTAGTTAATCACAGTATTTACAGACTCAGATTATTCAGAATACACTGAATGTGTATCCTTTTTATACATATAATTTAGTTTATTTTTAATCTAATCTATGCATAGTGTATATGTTTCATAATCATATGATGGATATACTGCTCACATTAAATGTTAATATCGTGAAATGTACATGTTGGCATCAGCTGGTAGCCTTGAGGTCAATAAAATGTTTAGTTTGTTTGCTTGTTAAGTCTAGTTTTAGGCACCATCTACCAGGTAATGTACTTACAGAATCACTTTTGTTGTAGCTAATCTGGGTACCAGACAATGTGAAATATCTTGTCTTCCAACGCTTTAAAAACTTCCATCTGCCCTTCTTTTCTTTTAGCTGACCCTGAATTTATACAAACAATGGATGTTACAAATAAAAGTCATCCCATCCTTTCCCATGCTATTTACCATAAAATACTTTATTTTTCTATAACTTTGTTAAATAACTTTTTAAATCATAAAATATGTAAAAATATTAATGGACTTGTCTATTTTTTAATCTGGACAAAAATATTCATCATTTTTATGGAAAATTCAGGAAACAAGAGCGATCAGTGATCACGTGTCGCCTCATGATGGCCAATTTCATGTTGGGACAAATTTTGTGACAGACGGACAGACAGACGGACAGTGCACAACTAGACTTGGTACTGATCATTCCTGTAAAGTTTTGATAAAATTGCACCAGTAGTTTATGAGGAGTAGTCTGGACAAGTTTTGTGTATCTGGCAACACACAGAAAAAAACACCTTTTTATCAAAGGGCCATAACTCGGCCAAATTCATTCAACCAGAAAATACGTGCAATATGGGCAAGGACTTGAGCTACAGATCAATCCTGTAAAGTTTCATTGAAATTGCATTAGTGGTATAAGAGAAGTAGTCCGGACAAACTTTAAATATAAAAATTATTAAAGGGCCATAACTCTGACAAAAGTCATTGAACCGGAAAATGTTGACAATGTGCACAACTAAACTTGGTACTGATCATTTCTGTAAAGTTTGGATGAAATTGCACCAGTAGTTTATGAGGAGTAGTCCGGACAGGTAGTTTTTGTGTATCTGGCAACACACAGAAAAAAACACCTTTTTATCAAAGGGCCATAACTCGGCCAAAATCATTCAACCGGAAAACCCGTGCAATATGCGCAAGGACTTGAGCTACAGATCAATCCTGTAAAGTTTCATTGAAATTGCATTAGTCATATAAGAGAAGTAGTCCGGACAAACTTTAAAAATAAAAATTATTAAAGGGCCATAACTCTGACAAAAATCATTGAACCGGAAAATGCTGACAATGTGCACATCTAGACTTGGTACTGATCATTTCTGTAAAGTTTGGATGAAATTGCACCAGTAGTTTATGAGGCGTAGTCCGGACAGGTAGTTTTTGTGTATCTGGCAACACAGAAAAAAACACCTTTTTATCAAAGGGCCATAACTCGGCCAAAAATCATTCAACCGGAAAACCCGTGCAATATGCGCAAGGACTTGAGCTACAGATCAATCCTGTAAAGTTTCATTGAAATTGCATTAGTCATATAAGAGAAGTAGTCCGGACAAACTTTAAAAATAAAAATTATTAAAGGGCCATAACTCTGACAAAAATCATTGAACCGGAAAATGCTGACAATATGCACAACTAGACTTGGTAGCAACAGTAGTTTATGAGGAGTAGTCCGGACAAGTTTTGTGACAGACGGACAAAAAGACACACAGACGGACGGACAGACGACGGAGAAGTGATCCCTATTATGTCGCCACTACTTCGTAGAGGCGACACAAAAATGTACTGACTAAATTATTATGATATAGTGCAGACCATGATCAGATGGGATAAAGTGAAGACTGATTATGGTCTAAACTGGTCACATAGATAGATTATGTAAACAGACACCAGCATGCTAAAGGTTAATAAACATTTCATTAACCAAATTTTCAGACATTTTATCTACAACATCAATTAACATAGTCCTTTATTCTATAATTTCAGTTAATTAGCTTAAAATTCCATTCATACAAGTCAATACCAGCTATACACTTAACTTCTGAACACAAATATCAATTGAAATTGTATAATTATCGATTAAAATACAGTTTGTACACATGTACTTGTATACAAATTTTTGTTTAATTTACAAGTGAACATGCAAACATGCATGGTATCTAAAAGTATCTTTGGTTTAAGCACAGTTTTTGTTTAAAAAAAAAATTTCATTAAGCAAGCTGAAAACAAATACATATTTTGCAGAGAAAAATAAAGATGAGGCAGCATACATAATTGTCTAAAAAAAGTCAATTATGTATCTTATTTAAGGCTGCATGCGTCACAATGGATCACAATGTTTTGTACATGTATACATGTATAAAGATCTAGCCATTATGACTGTGACACTTTTAGTCTGGCATCCATACAAAAGTTTCAAGATAGCCTTTACATAAAATGTATATCATTTTCTGTTAAATAAGCCTGGGCTTGGATGAAGCATATGTAAACACTATGCCTAACATGAGCTCCTCTAAGTTAAATCTAATAATCCTTTTATAAGTGTCAGCTTTCATCATATACTAGACCTGTCAGAAATTGCATTTTGCACTATTCTCAATATCGACAGTGTAGAACTATAAGCCTGTAAAGAAGTTACTCAAAGTATAGGACCTACATGTATATGTCCATTATGTGACACATTTGTATAATCACAGATAACAAGTGTGTGAAGTTTTAACCTATTCCCTTCAGTAGTTTTGGAGATACCAACTTGCATGTAAAACATAACAAGCGTGTGATGGCAAATCTAACGTCAGGTTGAGTACAATAGCTCTAACTAATCTTTGTAAAGCCAAGCTAAAAGTATACTGAATGTATACCTATTAAAATGGTTTTGGTCACTAGCTTTAAACTGCTTGTTATTCACAGAGATAGGTATAAATCCCACATGGGGCTTTTTTTCTGTAAGGAAGCTATCAGGCTAACTTGTAAGAGATACTTCCTTGCTTGTGTAAGAGAGTGAGATAAATGTGCAACCTGACATGGACTTGAACCCCTGACCCTTGGAATACCATTTCACAGCTCTAAAGACTAAGCTCTCTGGCCTATAACACATTTTTCGTCCCTTTAGCAGTGAACAGTTTTAAACTATGAAGCTTGAAATAATGCATATAATGAACATCAGGGTCTTCTACTACAAATACATTTAGAATATAGCCATATGCCCATAAAATTGTCAGTGTTACTTAAAATGAAACTAATACTTAAAACTAGAACTATCGCTGAATGCGATTCATACCCCCACCAATGTCCTTGACAGAAGACGACTTGGAAAGGTGATTAAGGGAATAACTTAAGTGGCACAAATACATAAAAAGAAATTATCTCTGGTGAAAAAAAGACTAATTGTACAGGTAATAGTATAAATATATATTATCAAATCATGTTCGAAACAGTTACAAATAACCTTTCATTTTCCCGATGTACTAAACATTTTATTTATAAGTCAATTTTTGACCTTCAAGTGTGGCCTTGACCTTAATCTGGCACAAGGGTTAAGATGGGTTTTGCATATCGCCCAGTTGGGGTGAATATTTGAGTAAAATTTGAAGAAAATCCTTCCATTAGTAAAGAATTTATAGAGCGGACACAACATATTGCCTAGTATTGATGGTATGTAAATTTGAAGACTTAAAAAGGGGCATAACTTTGTCAAAATGCAATACAGAGTAATGAAACTTGACCTGCACATCCCCTTGTTGAGGTGAACATTTGAGCCAAGATTGAAGAAAATCTTTCAATTAGTGTAGGACTTACAGAGCGGACACGACATACTGTGTAATATTTGATTGTTTGATATTTGACCTTCAATTGTGACCTTGACCTTGAGCTGACACATGGGCAACATGGGTTCTGCACATCCCCTTGTTGAGGTGAACATTTGAGCCAAGTTTGAAGAAAATCTTTCAATTAGTGTAGGACTTACAGAGCGGACACAACATATTGTGTAATATTTGATTGTTTGATATTTGACCTTCAATTGTGACCTTGACCTTGAGCTGACACATGGGCAACATGGGTTCTGCACATCCCCTTGTTGAGGTGAACATTTGAGCCAAGTTTGAAGAAAATCTTTCAATTAGTGTAGGACTTACAGAGCGGACACAACATACTGTCTAATATTTGATTGTGTTTGATATTTGACCTTCAATTGTGACCTTGACCTTGAGCTGACACATGGGCAACATGGGTTCTGCACATCCCCTTGTTGAGGTGAACATTTAAGCCAAGTTTGAAGAAAATCCTTCAAATGGTGTAGGAATTATAGAGCGGACACGAAAATGGAGACGGACCGACCGACGCGACAAAGCGGACCATTATAGCCCCCCCCACACTGACGCGACAAAGCGATTCCATTACAGCCCCCCCACATTTTGTGGTGGGGGTATAATAACAAAGAAAATTATCATTGATAAGTATATAGCACCTTTTCTCATCAGTTACTTACAGCTATAACAGGGTTGCCATCTGGCATCAATTCTGACATCTTCTCTGGATGGTTACACATAAAACATGCCCAGTATTTCTTCACTGCGTTAAACTCAAACACATCAAAGTATCGCACATTGTGCATCTCTTGTAACAAAGCATCTTGGTCCTAGTGAACACAATGATATAATTTATGTATCATGCTCAACAATAGACTCAATAAAATACTGGGAATCACTTAGGAAAGTATAATCAGAATCACTTCGTATGAAAACTGTTTTTTTTTTAGTACCAACTAAAAATAAAATTTAATAAATCCAATTTTGACAAACAGATAAATTCGGTTTTCTGTGAAAAAAATTTAATAAAGTCAATAAACTGCCCTAACAATGGTCATCTGCTGTCCATAGCCAGGGGTCATTCGAATTAACTCCCTAAGAGCTATACTGACCTAAAGCACTGGTCCATGCAACATTGTTGCCACAAAAATTGTTTAAAAAAAACCCACAAAATAGGCTCTTAATACATGTAATTATGTCATTTATGACTGAAATTTTTTAAGACATGCCTTATTGTTATATATAAAAAAACAAGAATGACCAGTCAAAACTATTCTGTATAATCAACAAATAATATCAGACTTGCTTCATTATAATGAACATGCATTACATTGATAGCTAAATGTTTGATACCTTAGCCATACATGCCATAACGTCCCGGATGCCCGGGATTGTCCCGGAAATTGGATGTCTGTCCCGGAGATGTCCCGGGCATCGATTTGATCCCGGAAAAAAAAATCATGATATTTGGCAAAATTTTCTTAAAATAAATCTCGCACATTTCACCTCTAGATCGTAAAACATAATCTGACCTGGTACACATAATACACAGGAACTTTGACACTTACAAGTTTACAATATACAGCCCCCCAATTATCGACTGTCGATTCCCCTCGGCAATAGATTCTTCATGCATCGGCAATTAACATTCTCTGTTGAATTCGGCAGCGTTTAATGGTCGGGTTAATTAATTGTTTACGGCCCTAAACAATTATCGTTAATCCCCGATAATCATTAATTTTTAGATCAATCGCTAACTTGCCGAAAGTCTAATTATTACAAACAATGTAAATATATCTATCAAATAAAAAAATTAAAGGTGTCAAATAAATCACCTTGCTGTGTTTGTTTTTATGACTGGAAGAATTGCATTACGTGACATGTAGTAATTAACATGACTTTAAGATATAACGGGTGAACAACATGGCTGCGCCCATTCACCGGGTTTATAACTTACAACTTACTTGCTTTTAGGGAATAATAAATTAAATAAAGAAATACTTTTAAAATGATAAATATGTCGACCTAAAAGACAACTTATAAAACTAGTAAGTTAACTGTTTATCATTAAAATTCAGGAGAAAGTCGTCCTAATTTAATAACGTTATACGATTGACACCCCCCCCCCCTTTTCCACAACTGCCTACACATCCATTATTGCCGCGATGAAAAGTGTCCCGGAAAGCTGTCCAAAAATTATGGCATGTATGCCTTAGCAATAGGGAATGCTAAATGTTTGTTACCTTAGCAACAGGGAATGATGAAGTAACGAGAGTGAGATAACCGCTGTTGCCTTTCTCCGGGTATAAAGCATCCCAGCATGCCTTCAAACTGCTCACGTTATAATCCTGCTGACTCAAAGCCGACTGTGACTGGGCCTAAAATAGCACAGATTGTCACTATTAGATAAGTCAAGACAAATTGCACTTAATTGGTACATAGAAATAGACCAGGAGTTTCACCAACTTGCACATTAGCTGTACATGCTATTCTAATGATTTTATAAAGGAAATAATTTTTCATCATCGCAAATTTTCTGCTTGAGATAATGGAAATGATTTTCAGCATTTAGCATGTGTACAACATGTAGTTTGAATTAAATGCTTAAAGGAATTCCAGTGAGGTCCAAAACCATAAAACACAAGAAAAAAGTATTCTGGAAAAACAAAGGGAGCGAAAGAATTGAATTTTTGGACACAAGTTATTGGTCCAGTCCTAAAATGAAACAATAATCTCGAAAACAATACTCACAGAACATTTATTCTGTTATTAAAAAATAGAATACGATATATAAGTGATATATAAACTTTGACAAACAATTTCTAAAAATAGACATACCTGAACAGCTAAGAACATGAGATGTATCCATGTTTTTGGTAGTTTTGTATTCAATGTAAAGAACTGTTTACCGTATAAACAATGTTTCCCATTTATTCCACACTGAAAGTTCAGTCTTACATACCGTTTATGTCGGCCATCTGAAACATTTATATTTTTGTTGAACAAATGATAAACATTGATTAACATTTTATGATAAATTAATAAATGGGTGGGACATGGGTGGAAAAGAATAAAATTATGTAATGTTTAAATTCTTCTCCACCAAAAATATTAACTGAACTATACATGTAGGTTTTTTGTTTTATTGATTTAAATGAAGAATAAAAAAGAAAAACAAATGAACAAAACAAAATAATCATAGGGTTCAGGCAGCAGCCATGTATATAAAATTATATAAACGATTATCCAATGAAAAGCTATGTTACAAATGTGCAGTATTTATATAAATATATATATGTATGTTAACAGGAATGAGATTATAGAAAATCTTCTCACCAACAATGCTGCATTTAGCTGGAAGAGGTATTCTGGCCGACAAACTGCTGATAAAGTTACGTATCGTACTTAAATGCTTCTCACAAAAATGCTGCACCCCATCTCGAACTGGTTCCGGCTGATAAATAAAAGAAAAATATATATGAATAAATCATATTGTAGTTTTTACAGTAACAAAAATAATAAGATTATATCATCACCCTAGTGCAGTAACGGGTTAACTCCTTATGTAATCTAATAAGAGTTAACCCCTTACTGCAGTAAGGTGATGATATATTTAATATATAATTATATACAATAAATTAAATCTTAAAGAACTATCAGTGTTAAAATCAAGGTCTACTCAACTAGAATAGTCAGGTTGGCCAGTACATCTTTTCAGTCGGACATTGAATTATAATGTTCATAGCTATTTTCAACTACTAGTACATGTATTCTAATCAAAAAGAAAAGTGTGTGTAAGCTTCATATGTTATCCACGGTCATAATACATAGTTATATGAAGCTTGATGCTGATGTGGATGTATGCAGGTACATTATTCACAGGAAAACCTCTCTGACTACATATTTTGAGGGTTTGAGCTTGAATCTCTACTACTGGCAATTAAACTTTGACAGACTATCAGATAAGATACAGAGTAACTATATAAATGTTCTACATCTAGTATGTTGAAGAACAATCTGATACTTCTGGAATTTAAAATAGTTGTCCTTGTAGAGGGAAGAGTCATCATTCTGTACACTATTCTCAAAAAGCAAATGCATAACAATAGCTCTTCTGAAGGAGTTACATGTACCTCCTTATTTAAGAAGTCATTTTTGTATATCAAATGAAGACATAACTATATACATGTAAAGCTTTGCTATAAAATGTTGTGAAAAAAGTATTCCAACTAATATTTATCACTTTCAAGTCGGCGACCTGGAACTAACCAGTACTGGTGTTATATGAGGAATGTGGTCATTAAACAAGTAGGGCTTAAATCCATGATTCTTTGGTTGAGAGCCAAATGATTAAATCAAACAGCCACAACTCTTTTATAATTGTAAGATATTAAACCTACATTTGAACAATATTGCAACAATACATACTGGCAATCCAGAATGACTGCTCAATGTGAGGGCACTGTTTAATGATGCTCTGTCCAAAGTAGAGGCGGGACTTACAGGTCGATCATTTAACGCTCGGACATTTGATGAACTATTTCTGGAATATAGAAACATAAATTCACACTTTGTAAAAGTATGATGTCACAAATAACATTAGATATATTATCGTTTTTAACTATTTCAAATGAGCTTGAAAAATATATATTACCAATATTATCATTCCTTCAAATCTCAGACATGAATTACAGATTTTGTAGCTGCAAATCTATGATGTTTTATTTGAAGATAAATATATGCATTAATGCAATTTTTACTTATGTTAACATTTCATTAGGGAAACATTGCAGATTATTTAAGAGTACATGTATAGAACTTGTACAGATTCAAGAAATACTTGATAGGTTGGCTTGAATAAGGCAGAAGTACTGCAGATAATTTGCGCTTAAAAAAGCCAATTAATCCATTAAACAACATGTCAATCAATAATGTGTTTTTCAAATTTTTGAAAAATTATTTTCTTTTATGAAAATGAAAGGAAATGTTGAAAATAAACATATACATGTATTTTCCAGAGTAACTCACATAAATTCTGAAAATTTACTTAAATTTTGAAAATTCACTGAAATTTTGAAAATTCACTGAAATTTTGAAAATTTACTAAAATTTTTAAAAATAACCTAAATTTTCAATATTAATTGTACAAACATTCAACAAACAGCAACATTGATATATACACTGTACCTGGAAGCTTTAGAAAGACTTTGTTGACTTGACCTAGTACTATTGGATTGTTGTTGTTGTCTTACACCAACCACGTTGCTAGGATACGCAGGGTTACCAACGGTGATGATCGTGACCGTTCCTTCAGTCTGACTTGACACAGATCTCATTTCCTTCTGACCACAACTGTTGTATATCAATAATGTAATTAGTATGGTTATTAAGATGTATTAAAGTGATACTTTAACTAAACTAGAAACAAGGCTCATGCTTTTCATGCCTTTCTATGACATACTGGTTACACACTATAATTGCCACAATATTTGGTACATCAAGACACAGGAGTGCAATAAAAAAAATGTTACACTAGTGTTCAAACAATGCAATGTAACATGTCATCATTTGCAATACATAAATTTAGCATAAAAGATTGCTTATGTAAGCATAGTTAACGAAAATTCAACCTTTTATTATTGTAAACCTTTCTTATTTTGGATATGTGAAATCTGTGAAGGTTCATTATTAAATTTGTTGACATCATTGAAGAAAACAATATTTTGCTCATCAGAGGTTTGCATAATATAAAAAGAATATCATATTTGTGTAGGTTCATTACTAAATTTATTTAAATCATTGAAGAAAACAATATTTTGCTCGCCAGAGATTCGCGTAATATGATTTTATTCAACTCATTCAATAAATTTAATATTGAACCTACACTCATTCAATATCAACTATAATATAACCACTTACTATTTTTTATGATCATCTTTCAACTGATGTACGAGTATTCTTACAGCACTTGAGCCACACTGCGATAATTTACTGATTTCCGTGATGTTGTCCGCCAGTAAATTGTGATGTAGCAGTCCAAGTGCTTTTATTTCTTGTAATATCACAACCAGAGCTGATTGGTCGCTCAGCGTAGATAATAATGACACTAAATAGTTCATAGTTTTAACTGCATGTACCTAATAAAATAAAACATAAAAACAAAATATATTTATCATTCTTATCAATACTTGTTTAAAAATTTAATATTGTTATAGTTTTAAATATTTTGCTTATACTTAAAGAAGTGGTTGTTGTATTTTTAAGTCATATGAATCTGTAAATGTCACATGGAGATTTTCCATCTATACTAGTGGAGGTGTCCTTCAGTGCCTTAGTTCTAGCACAAGCTGTCACTCACGTAGAACCACCGACATTCTGGAAGCTAGAAGGATAGCATCCTCACAGGAAAGAATCAAAAGTCCCTGACCAGATTCAATCTCACAGTAGTGAGAGGCAAGAGAAATTAAGTTGGTGACGGTAACCACTTGGCCATGACGGCCCAAATATACCTAAAACGATGAAAACAAAAGATAATGCACCCATTTGTCAAACTTTAAAGTAAAAGCTTTGAGTATCTTTAAACTTTTAGCTAGCTTTTGTATTGTTTGACAAATCCAAGCACATGCTTATATTGTTTTAAATAGAATTTTATGTGCTATATAAGGTAATCAAACTTCCATAACAACATCTGTAGAACAATATCTTCCTTCCTAGTGATTGTTTTTCATCTCTATAAAGTTTTATTTAAAGTTAATGCCATTATGTGTTAAAGGCCTTTAAAACTGCAATCTTCAGCCATTATGAGCATCTTTAAGTGTTTCCAGCCATGTCTGAACAGATGCAAGTGAATTTTTACCACTCACATGTGACACAAAAACATGACTTGACAACTCATCTGTGACACACAAAATCATTATTTTTGACGACTCAGAAAATCATTACTTAACCACTAACCTGTTACCACTCACCTGTGATACACAAAATCATTATTTGAACACAAACCTGTGACACATTTTTTTTTTTTTAAATGCGTTTATTTAAGGTCGCCGCCGGAAAGCCCATATGGGCGACCATACACTCAAGTCGGGCCATCCAAGAGCGTCCCGCCAAGATTTTTTCGTCGATTTTTTTCCAGCTTTTATTGGTGGAAGAAGACCACAGGTGCCCCTCCGGGCATTATTTCAGGCACGAGCGGGCACCTGGGTAGAAGCACCGAACTTCCGTAAGCCAGCTGGATGGCTTCCTCACATGAAAGAACCTGTGACACACAAAATCATTACTTGACCACCTGTGACACACAAATACATAACTTGACCACTCACCTGTGACACACAAAATCATAACTTGACCACTCACCTGAGACACAAAAAATCATAACTTGACCACTCACTTGTGACTTACAAAATCATCATTTGAACACTCACCTGTGACACAGTTCCTATTGCACCAATAATTTGTACCACCTGGTGTATATATACAGGTTGTTGTTCAGCTATTTCCTTCAATGATGTCACATGATCAACAAACACGACTGGATTGGCTGTTGCCATGTCAACAAACATTGTAAGTATCAATGGAAGTAAGGTGCTTACAGAGATATATTTACAAAAAAGTGATATGTGTTTCTCCAGGACCTAAAAATAGAAAAAGAAGATACATGTATAAAGAAGAGGGTCATCAAGCCCATAAAAGTAGTTTAACAAAATTCCATACATTATGCCTATATTTAATATTATAAGCTAACCAATGATTACTTGTTTTTATGTAACCCAAGATAATCTATATGACATACTGGGCATGTAAGTGGAAAATTAAAGAAATTTTTTTTTCATGCAAGTAGTAAACATGTGTAAAAATAAATGTAAATTTCTAATCATCAGTGACATATAATTTATATCATTTCATAACAAAGATTGTGGCAACATGGCTGAGTGGTCAATTCTTGGATTATCAAAACTTATACACACCCTGGGTTTTGATTTTGCTATCATTCCGAACACTTGTAAAAGACTAACACGTTCAGACACCCCGCACTGTTCCACCATTGCCACCAGCTCATCCACATGTTGTATAACTGGGTCAGAGTTCTGGGTAAAAATCTGAGGTAGCACGCGAGCCAAAGCACACTTTCCTGAAAATATAAAAAGTATGATTGTTTAATATCACTTTGTCTTAAGACAATACTTTTATTCATCAATCTCATACCATGAGGTGTCCAACATATAACTTTCAGTACCAATTTTTTATACCGGTATAAGGATCTACAAGCACAAGTGTTTAAGGCCTCACACATTTGAGCAACTTTTAGTGAGCCACTTTCAATTCAATTATACTGCACACTGTCAATTTTTTTGTAACACAGAACTCTGTATTTCAACATGTTCAAATTATTCCACACAAAAATCTTTCACACATAAAATTTAATGTAACATTATGAATGACTGTAATTTCTCTACATTGTATAAAACTATACAAATTCTTATCACATAAAAATATAATAAACTTAACAAGATAAAAACTCTATGTATATAAATTATATATTTTTGCAGAGTAAAAATTATGTAACTATTTTTGGTTATAATTATGATAGGCAGTAACTCTAACAATCATGTTGCCTTATTTAGACCAGATGAAATCAAGGAAATACTTGATAAGCTACATAATTTTAGTTAACTTATTATATAACAATGAGTAATTATATTTAGACTAGTATAGTTTCTTAATAACCAAATCAACTTGGGCATTCAGTTTCTTAATAATTATCATTTGAGGAAAAATTTTAAGGCCTTTAAATAAATGACAGACCATGCAATTTAAATATTTTTATGATTATAAAGCAGACAATTATAAATATTTAATTTTATTCATTTATATGATAAAAAAGTGATGAAAATGTTTCTATTAGAAGGGCCTCAATCAATTTTGAATAGATCTACCCCAGTTATTTAGCTCTGTTCCATTTTTTTTTAATAATTTATTTCATTTGCAGGGCTTAAACATTTTAATTATTTCTATCAGCTGATAACTCTATTTTGACACTTTCTTATTAATTTGAATGCTGGCATGATAAAAACAACACTTTAAATGCTATTTCCCTATTTTTTTACATTGACATTTTGAATTCTTTAAGATAAATATTCAATTTTTCAGTCCTTGAAATAAAAAGAAAACTAGATCTTCTAAAATTAACTTATCATTTCCTATTCATATCTTCTTTTAACATTTGAAGGGTTATAATACACTTTTTTTATTTTTAATGCCACTGACAATGTTAATGTCTTTTGGCATCATTTATTAATAATGTTATGGGTTTCTTTCTCATGTCTGAGCATTTTTAGAAACGTAAATTTAAAGGAAAATAATTTTAAACTTAAAAAATAAAAACGTTTTCATGTAAAATAAAGTAATAAGAAGAAATTAAAATGTAAATTTTAAATATTTCTTTTTAAAATCTCATACATATGTCAAGTGTATATATTTTCCACTTTTAATGTTTCAGGTGTGAAATATAGATCTACCTGTGAAAATAAAAATAAAAGATTATGTATAGGCCTACTAAGGATAATGAAATACTGTAGATTTTTTTTCAGTTTGAAGAAAATAAAAATATGCATTTGATTGTCATTTCTCTGAAAATATCAATTAATACTAAAATCAATGTTAAACCAACTAGCTTGTACCTGCCACAGAGCAGATAACTGTGTCGTATTATTGGAAAAATCGACCGTACATTACATCTTTGTTTAACATATCAACAGGAGTACACCGCGCGTTACTTTTTAGTGTCATTACAGCAAACCGTACCACGTGACTTGTTTATTAATAGTCAGCAAGGCTTCATCTCGGAGAAAAGTGGAAATTTTTGTCCCAAATTGCAAAATTTATGCAATTAAAGACGCCGGTTTATTTTTAAAACAGGTGAGAATGTAATTTAACGCCTATATCTACTTAAGTTCTGGTTAAAATTTTGTTTACGCACTTGAAACTAACTGTATTCAATTGTTATTTGTCTAACCGATTTGTTGACGATAACTTGGCCGCACTGTTGTATGGGGAGTTGAGTGGGTGGGGTAACGCCGAAAATACGTTTTGGTTTGAGAGTTTTTCTTTGTTGCAGGAAACGACACGAAAATTTCGTAGGCACCGATACTGTAACCTCTTGAAAAGTAAATCATTGAGTTTGCAACATTCTTTTAAGAAGATCTATAAACTATTCTACGATCCAGTTGAAAAATAAAACTTGTATTCATGAGGCTTTTATTGTGTGTTTGTCATAGTTTGTGATTCTCACCACAATATTCAGGATTTGATTTGTCAAATCTTCCTCATTATGTTAAGTCTAAGGTTTCATTTATTAAACTGCACACTCGAAAACTGTGTCTCATTTTTTTTGCTCAAAGTTTTTCAAAAGGCTAAGCACTGCTTTTTTTCCATCAAGTGTCAATAATGATTGAAGCTTAAAAATAAAGTTAGAAAGATTTCACCATTTCCATTTTCAAAGTATATACTAGACTCTATATATAAAAACTATACCGGTATGAACTTCAAACAAAACAAGGAAATCCAATTTCAACTTAAATTAATTGAATGTTTTTTTTCTAGTTTTTTTTTCCAGAATTATTTGACACTAAATTTTATAAGTCAATGGCTAGCCATATGGGCTAGTTCTAGTTGTACGTGTGTGTCAAGTATGACTAACCTATATGCACTGTTAAAATAAATAACCTTAAACACTAATGAATATGTAAACTTTTGTTTATATTAACGAAGATTTTATTGAATATTACAAAAACTTAAATTACTGTAGATATATTGATTTTTGGCGTCCCAGCTTAGAATGTGAAAAAATTGCAGACATAGAGCCAGGATTGTTCACCAGATTGCTTGGCTGTTCTGATGTCCTACTCTTGTTTATATCTAAGTAATTTACAAAGAAAGAGCTGGGTGATGGAAGGGGGTCATCCCACAATGGCTATAGTACATTTATATTTTTCACAAAACAGTTGTTTTCCCAAATTTTCCTTCATCTTAACACATTAATATGTCATTTCAACATTTATTTTCTTACAAAGAATTATGAATACTAAATTACCTATGATCTTACTGGCATTAAATGACAGATGTTTATACCCTCATCATACCCACCTCTTGTCATTAAAAATTTTCCGAGATGGTTTGTTTAGAACTAGAGACAGTCTTTTGATTTAATCACATACAACAGAAAGTTTTCTTTAGGTTTTGAGGTGGCCTCAAATTCATTTACAGTGTCTTTTCTAGGACGCGCGATTGCGCGATTCACGCTAGTATTTCACAGATCGTGCACAATTCAAAATCATGTGCGTGAAAATCGCGCATCTATAAAAAAAGTTAATAAAATCGTAAAACTTCCATCCCGCATTATATTTGGTTGTTTTGTTTACATTTACATCGGAAACCGAAGGGAGTTAACTGTAAGCTAATTATAGTAATTTAGTACCGTATGGTACTGGTTATGTGAGTTGACGGAAATTAACAGAATGTTCCGTACCAACCGGAACTAGTGTGCTCGGTCTGACAGTTGGGCGCCATTTTAGTGTAGTAAATAATCAAGAAAAAACGAGGCAATTCCTAGCTTGGCTACGATCTAGACGTGAAAGATAGGTCGATTGTTTGTATTGTCAATCCCTTTATAATCAATCGCGGCAGTTCTGTAATAATCTGTTTTCGTTTAAAAATTAAGGGGGGACAACTTCTGCTGCCTTAAATAAATAACGCCTCAGTGTAAACTTAATGCAGACGATTTAACATTGGCAGTTTATTTTGGCACCCCTTGATTTTGAAAATCGCCCCCTTTTTTGAAATAGAGGGGGGGAAATCACCCCTATTTTTCAATTCCTAGAATAAACACTGCATTTAAGACGGTCATTTGGGCACCCAGCCGCCTCTGAATGACTGCCCCTCATGTGGTACCTAATAAACCATTAAATAATTTCAATTGTTTGCATTTGCAGTTGGAACAGCGTACACTGTAATATAATTAAGTACTGTACTATTTTGTTTTCCAATGATTCCACAGTGACAGGTGCTGTAAACACTATCAGAGATGTAGTGATTTATTGTGTGTTGCATAGATCTATACATTGAAGCAAGAAATATAAAAAAATTCAAAATACACAAGTTTCAGTGTTTTTTTTCTTTATATAACTACTACCCTAAACGGTACCATTCCCAATAGAAAATAGACATTAAAATTCCCAATTTCCAATGTAAAATTCCCAAAATGGCTGTTCAAAATGCCCACAAGGCCAAGTGATTTTTCTAAAATCATTTAAATCGAACATATTCATATAAATCACCACTCAATAGTTCTATCTGGACAGTATAAGCTGTTGGCTATCTTTATTCATGATGTCTAATCTCATTTGTAGCTGAAAAAATGCATTAAAAACTAGAAATGTGTCCATAGGACACGGATGCCCCCACACGCCACTGTTCTGTCAATCTTATGACTCTAGGTCAAATATTTTTTGGACTACATGTGACACAAGTTGAAAACTAAAAATCAACAAAGGGCCATAATTCTGTTAAATTTGGTCGCAGCAAAAATTCCTTCCTTTACTACCATCTACACATTAAGGTTGTTAATCCCTGGAAGTTTAAGCAAAATCTGCCATCCGGTTTAAGAGGAGATGCGTTCACAAAATTTCTACATAGTATATAATGAAAAAATAAAAAAAGGGCCATAATTCTGTTAAATTTGGTTGCAGCAAGAATTCCTTCCTTTACTACCATCTACACATTAAGGTTGTTAATCCCTGGAAGTTTAAGCAAAATCTGCCAACCGGTTTAAGAGGAGTTGCGTTCACAAGATTTCGGGACGTACGGACTGACGGACGGACAAGTGCAACGCTATATGCTCCCACATTGTGGGGGCATAAAAATCCCAATTTTAGTAAAAATAACGCATTTTTTTCCCAATCAGTCTGGTACCGGCACCATTCCCAAAGTAGAGAAAAAAACTCTGAGTTTAAATATGATCTGAAAGGCAAAATGATATTGAAATACATGATCTGTTTTTACAAGATATCTGAATATCATGCTTTTATTGTCTGGTTTCAGTTAGTTAATGAGCAGAGTTATGGTCCTTTATATTTTAATCAGACTTCAGTGCATAATGAATGTTTAGAAAATTTTATCCTTTAATAAATTACATATAAATTGTCGATCAAGTTATGTGCCAATAATGAAGTATTAATGAAGTTATCTGCCAATGATTAAGTTTTTACATTTACTGGTTTAATAACAATTTATAATTTTACAATCTTGTTTTACAACAGAAGTTTTTGATCTTGATCAACCTTTTGAAGCTCCAACTTTAAAAAAAGTTTTTTCTTTGGTTAACTAAAAATTATTTACCGAACATAAGAATATTTTCTTAATTTCTTTAAATGGTTTCAAATATTCCTTTCAAACTTAAAATACTGATTAACTGTGAAAGGAAGGTAATTCTGCTCAGCATTTATACACATTCAGCGTTTTTTTCTCAATACTTTGGGAATGGTGCCGGTTCCAGACTGATTGGGAAAAAATGCATTATTTTTACTTAAATTGGGAATTTTTATTATGCATTTTTTCAGCTACAAATAAGATTAGTCATCATAAATAAAGATAGCTAACAGCTTCCACTGTCCAGGAAAAACTATTGAGTGGTGATTTATATGAATATCTTGGATTATAATGATTTTAGAGAAATCTCTTGGCCTTGTGGGAATTTTGAACAGCCATTTTGGGAATTTAAACATTTGAAATTGGGAATTTTAATGTCTATTTTCTATTGGGAACAGTGCCGTTTTAGGGTAGTTACCAGTAGTTATATAAAGAAAAAAAACATGCTATTTTGCTTTTACAAATTATTTTCAAGCACTTAAAAAAAGTGGTGCATCCTCTTATTTATTTTTATTGTAAATGAATGTCAATTTAACCCTTTATATAAGAAATTTATTCAGTGACCATATGTTTACTCTTTTTGTTTTTCTTTCTAGACCATCATCTTTGTCCATCATGGCAGACAAGAAAAGGAAAGCAGCAGAGAGCAATAAGACCCCAGCAAAGAAAAGGAAAGTTGAGACTCCTAAGAAAACCCCTGCATCTGCAAAGAAAGCAAACACTCCAGCACCCAAGAAGGTCACATCTTCAAAAGTAAAGAAACCTGAACCAAAGAAAACACCTGCGAAGACTGTCAAGACTCCAGGCAAAGCAAAAAATGCTTCAAAAACACCCACAAAAAAGCCTACTCCTAAACCAGCACCGAAGAAAAAGGCAACATTAGCTGTCAAAACTGTCACCAGAACAAAACTTGAAAAAGCTAAAGCTGCAACTACTAAAGCAAATCTTGAAAAGGCAAAAATTCTGAAAGCAAAAGCAGCTGCAGCAGCTAAAGCTAAGCTTAAAACTACTAAGAACGCAGCAAAACCAAAGGCATTAGTCAAGGGTTCAGTAAAACCGAAGCCAAAAGTTGTAGCGAAATCTGCACCTGAGAAGAAAGGTAGAACTCCTGCAAACGTATCTGAAAAAACCCCAGCTAAGAAACCAGAGGAGAAAAAGAAAGAACCCCCTAAGAAAGAAGAAGAAAAAAAGGAAACGCCAAAAGCTAAAGCCCCAGTTAAGAAAGAAACTCCAGCTGCAAAAGCATCTGCAAAGAAACAGCCTGCTGCCGAATCTGTCTCTAAAAGGAAAAACACAGTTCAAGAGGAAAGTACAGAAGCCCCAAGAAAACGGAGAATGATTACTCCAAATAAAAAGTTTGCTGACTATGAACTCGATGTACCAGCCAAACGGACTATCACACCTAACAAAAAGTACGCTGATTATGAAACCGAGTCATCATCTAAACGAGTATCAGAGCTGAGAGCTTTTATCCAAGACAAAAAGAAGTCTCCAGAACCAGAGAGTCCCAAGTCGCCTGAAAAAGCAGTCAAAGCTAAAACTCAACCAGCCAAGAAAACTGAGGAAACAAAGGCAACTCCAGCAAGAGAAATAAAAGTATTTAAACCAAGTGATATGAAGCCTGCAGAAAAGCTCATGAAAAAGCTACAAAAGAAACTAGAAAAAGAAGCTAAGTCTGGGTCAACACCAAAGCCTGCAGAAAACCGTGAGAAAGCTAAGATAAAAATCACGAAAGTTGTAACCTACAACAAGCCAATGTCATCTGATGAAAAGGAGATGAGGTCTATTAAAGCAACACCAAAAGCAAAAGCAGTTACAGCAGCTGTAAAGGCAGTCACACCAAGTGTAACTGCAAAAACACCAAAACAAACATCTGCAAAGCCGAATGCTACAAAGGTGGCCAAAGCAACTCCAAAGGCAACACCTAAATCCAAGGCACCTGAAAAACAACGTCCTAAACCAAAGAAAATTAAAGAGTTACCAAGAGCAGAAAGACCTATTCAGGCAAAACTTAATTGCCAGAAATCTATTAAATCCAAGGATGATAACAGCGAGTTGAACTGTTGGATAACTGGAATAGGTGTATTTCCAAGTGGCGAAATAATAATGGTTGACATGACTAACAGAAAGATCAAACTTTTTAGCAAGGACTTTGACTTTTTGAGCCAGGTGAAACTTGATACAATTCCACAAGACATTTCAGTTAGTCCAGTCAATGCTAGTGATGCATACTTTACCAAGCCATTTTCACAAGAGGGTATTCAGAAAGTCTCAATGTCTGATGGTAAGCTGACACTGAAGGAATCTTTCCGGACCAATGGGACAAATCGTGGTATAACATGTACAAAAGGTGGTATTTTGACTTCTGTCCAAGATGGCCGCTATCATGATCTAGATATTAATCACTTTAAGATTGATCTCCTTGACTATGAAGGTAAGGTGTTACAATCAGTGTCCACCGACTTGAATGGCTCTCGTCTGTTTAAACTGCCACTTTATTTTGCTGTAAACAACACTGGAAAACAAATGATTGTAGCAGACTGTATCAAGCACTTCTCTTACATTGTAAGTGTTGACATGACTGGGAAAGTGAAGTTCAAGTATGAAGGCATTGGTGATAACTTGGTTACACCACGAGGGCTTACAATCGATGATGACGACAACATCTATGTCACAGAATGGGAAGGCCAGAATGTCTATGTCCTTTCTCCAACAGGAAAACGATTGCAAGTTTTATTGACCCACCATGAAGTTGTTGCTGATGGCCTTGATGGACTACAAAAGCCATACCAACTTTGCTTTTACAAACAGGATGATGTTAAAAAACTCATAGTCAGTCAAGAGGGTTGTAATACCGTGAAGGTGTTTGAAGTGTTTAAAAAAGCCCCTGAAACTGAAGAATCAAAGCAAGCTGCTGCAAATGCTGTTGCAGAAACTAAAAAAATACCAAATGGGGAAGCCAGTCCTGCTAAACGTACACCAGTTACTCCAAGGAAAAATGGTGCCCAGATCAGCGTATCTGTTACAGCTCCTGCAACAGATTTAAACAAACAAACACCAAAAGTAGTAAGGAAAGAAACAGCTGCTAAAGTTGTAGTCATACCACAGAAGGCTCCTGAACAAAAACCTGTTGAGAAAGCACAAAATACAAGTACTGAAATTACAAAAATCTCCACAACTGAGGCTTCGGTAGGAGAACAAAATACACAGACAGAACCAGATGTTCCTGAAACACCCAAAGAATCAACTGAAGTAAGCCCACCTGTTTTGAATCCTGAATTTGGTGATGACTTTGAAACAGGTGAAAATGACACTGAAGCAAATTCCTCTGTACAAGACGCAATCAATTCATTAAATGATTCCAAAGAAGAGCAAGTTGTTAGTGAAACAGAAATAGTTCAAAATATTGCTGATGCAAATCTTGAAAGCGACATAGGTGCTAATCTTGGAAATGTGGTAGAAGGTAGTAATGCGGTAGTGATAAATGAAAGTAATGTGAATGAAGTCCAAACCAATCTTGTTGGTGCAGTTGATGCAAATCAAGTTCATGTTGAAGTTTATGAGCAAGCTACTGTACCTCAAGTTGAAACTGTTGAGACACCACAAGACATTTCTGACAATGTTAATGTCCAACAAGAAGTAGTACAAGTGCCTGAAGTCATGAGTGTTGAACAAGTTCAGTTGGTAGATTCACAGTATGGGCAGGTTCTCATTCCTGGAGGTGAAATAATTACAACACAATCTATTGATACTGAAATCCAGTCAGTGCCTATGGAATCGGTTGCCCAAGAGACAATTATAATTCAGCAAGACGTCAATCAAATGGTGCCGCACCAGTACGAGAAAATTGAAACTGTGACAATGAACAATAATGATGCCAGCAATCTGTTACAAACTGAAACAGTGCACTATGTTACAGCAGTCAGCATGCCAGATGGTTATGCTACAAACATTGCTCAAAGTGAAATTGTTACTTCGGAAATGCCTGAGGAAATTATTACAATGGTGAATGAGACTGTATGATTGTTTTAATACTGAAATTTTATAAAACATGAAAGTTATCAAACTGAACTTGTATGTGAAAAAAATGTTCTGAAAAAAATTTAGTAATGGAACTGTGTAATAATAAATGGGAAGTATATACTGAAACAGAATCTGAAGAAGGTAGCGTAGCAGTATGGTGCTTCAGTGTACTCCATGACTGATACATTTTTGTGGGTGTTGCATGAAAGATATTCTCCTTTAACTAACTTAACAAAATTGAAATTGAATGAATCGGACTAACATATATAAGTATACGAGGCATGACAATGACAAAGTTTGTGTGTAGTTGAACTAAGAAATGAAAAGTATGATTTTTTTGTGAAATTGCATGACAAAACAAATGAAACTTGAGAATTTTTAGGAGTTAAACAATGTATGTAAAAATGTGATATACAGTTATAATAATGAATAAAACCTTTTTCCCCTCAATATAATGTTATATATGCAGCATTCCATGTATAAGATTATTTTTCTATGAAGTTTTGAATTGTGATGGTATTATAACAATGTCCATAAAGAACCTTGTGTTTTAGTAATACATACATACATTATGCAATGCATTGTTGTATTTTAATGTTTTTTATGTTGCTAGTTTTTCTTTTCTTTTTTCGTGTTTTAAACAAATTGTTCAGAATGTGGTACAGAATTCAAATACTAAACATTATTTTTTTTTCTTGTAAACTTTGAAATTTAAGTCTCATAGAGTTGTATATTGAAATGAAAATTTTAGGTTTTATTAATATTAACAGTAGTAATATTTTTTTCTTTATTACACTTAATAGGCTAGAAAATTTAAACTTTTAACCATGCAGGAAACAGGAGTCTTATTGCAGCAAGTCTTATGGTTTATTATACAGAAATTTCTTTAGTTTTAAAATTTTTGTCATCGTGTAATTGTGAACCAGGAGAAACTGCTAAGAATTTTGTTTCTTCTCCCGAGATTACATTCTATACGCTTGTGATACAGCTAATTTAGAACAAACAACATAATATTGGATGTTTAATCACTGCCCAGCACCTGATGGGTAAAATCAGTGCAGACAAAGGCCAAGCGCCACATCCTTGCATACTGTCTGATAACGGTCTGCACTGTCCGCTATTCAGTCCGCACTTATTTTTGAATTTTGCCAAGACTAAAAGCTAAACAAGTTCATTAAGTTTTTAGGGTGGTAAGGTGTAAACGATCATTTTCATGGTTTTAGTTGATGCTAATCATGTTTTAATCAGAATTTGAATTTTTATATATCCAGTTTCATTTAAATGAAATTGATTTTATGTGTATTTATCATTTTGTTCTGTAAATAATTTTTTAGGGCAATGGTTTAATATTCATCAATGTTTAAACAAAGAAAAATGTTATATTGTTTTATGTAAAGAAATCATACGCATTGGTAACTGAATTAACAACGGTTCATTGTGTCATAACCGTTCATAATAAAAATTTGACCTTTTGAAACGAATGATAAATAAAAGTACTTAATAATCATCTGAATCATTTTTTTTCAATCATTTGTTCTGTTTCTTGCACTATCACATAATAATTGAACAAGTTATAGTTTAAACATTGATGGATATGTACGCAAAAAGTAAAATACAAAGGTCTGCATTTTGTAAAGTTCTGTAAAATCTGGTTTAAAATTAACGCTTGGTCTGTGAGTGTGATTCAAGAGAAAAACATAGTAACAGTTGATAAATTTATTGTTTAAATACTGTTTGAAGGAACCCTAATAAGTTTATGAATCATGTAAATTATAATGAAATTGGTTGAAGAATCTAAAGAAAACAGTAAAAATGTGAAAGTAAATTTTACTCCGACTAATTATTCTAAATGTAATGTTTAAACATGTACTTTAAGTATTTTGTTTTAATCTAACAGAAACTCAAAAAGATTGACGATTCTGGAACAATTTTTATCAGACCTAGGTATTCTACTTTTGTATATATTGTTAATATATATTATTTTTTAATTTACATACATGTGTTCATTTTAACTGCAAACTTTGAATTTGGTTTCCTGGTTTTTTATATGCATGATTGTATCAATGATATTTTCTATAACCTCATTGCCTTTAAATATTTTCAAGACATATAGTTGTAACAATGGTAAACATTTGCTGCGTTAGCATCAGTGTCCCAACCAGGTTTACCAGTAGAGATCATATTCGCTACAATAGATGTCATTGAAATTGGTTTTTCCAAGTTGGAAGCGCAAATCCTTATTTCCATAAAAGTATGAAACTTTGAATTTCTTACTAGAGCAAATATATAGATAATTAATTGTATCCTTTTCACAAGCCGGGAAAAAAAAATAAACAAAGATATACTGTCAGGCTAGTGTAAATTTCGATGACTGTAAAAATCTTGAATTTTGTTTTCAACTTCTTGAAACTTAAGAAATGATTATACCTAATTCATAGACGGGAAAATCCTAATTCTTTGAATAAAACAGTTACTATAAATTTGCTTGAAAATTTCTTGTTTTTGTAAGTCCTGAGCTTAGACATTTGGTCAGATTGCATTTTAACACCAGATTTTTAACAAGCCTTATCTATGGTTGCATCATTGATATCTCTATTTATTGTTCTTTTTCAATTGAAAATAAAATGACTGATTGTTTTATTAGTGTAAAACCTTCATATATAATGATTACTTAAGAAATTGCATTATTTTTGTGCATTAATAGTGTTACGATTTGATGTTTTGTATTGAGTTTTTTTTATTGCAAACAAAATCATCTTGCCATAGTGAAGAGAAGACCAAAAGTAATTTAAGGTTAATCACTTGAATCTTAATTGTAAAAAAATCTCATCTTTCATTTTCTGTTAATTTTCATCCAATCATATTTTAATGAACAAACAACTTTTCATGATGTTCTATCTTTGTTTGATGAATTTGTAAATTCTGTGTTAGCAATGACTTTTTTAAATAAACACTGTTGCAACCAAATCTGTCGATGTATTCTTGATTTCTCCCTGTTAATTGCTTATCAGAACCACAGGTTTATAAGGGTGAACTGATTGGACAAAACATTTGTCGGGTGTTGACCAGAATTATGGTTCTCTTCACATTGCCTACCATATAAGCTCAGTTAGTTTAAAACATATATTTAAGCTTGATTGTGAAAAAGTTCTTGCAACTTATATTAATCACTTAAAAGTTAGCTTCCTGGAACTGTCTGTACTGATTTCATATGAAGATACATGGTCAAACCCATGATCCTGGCTTGAGGGGCAGACACCTTAACCATTGGGCCACCGCTCCCCATCAGCTCAGAGTGTTAGTGAACAAGGACAAAATTTATAAGGAGTGTTCTTCTTGATTAATTTGGTTGTCATATGTCTATAATGTTACTTCAACTTGTTCTACATGAGCATTTTTCAGTGTGTAAACAACATCTCAGAGAGAATATCAAAAGGCACAATTACTATAAGGAGGAAATTTAAGCAAGGAAATTTAACAGTAAATGGACCCGCCTGGCATTTATTAACCCTAAAAATTATTATTAGGGACAACTCACTTATACTTATTCGAGAACACTGCTTGTGCCTACGTGCAATGACATAGATGTCTCATCATCCTGGTAAATGGAATAATGGTCCTACAAAGTGGCTTTTTGTAACCCATAACTTGGTGAAAAAAGTGGTTCAATGCACAGAAGTAGATGCAGGTCTGGCCGGCTGTAGCGTGGGAGTCTCGCTCTCTCTCAATTTTTTCATTTGATTGGTCAGATCGAGGTGACCACAGGGAGAAAGGGCGATGCCCAAATGATGATGGCAATCGCATGACGTATTGGAAGCTGACAAGTCCACTTTAAAAAATTCAGAGGGTTAATAAATATAACACTGTCATTAAGCAAAATTTGGTAACAAATCTTTCATGTTATGTGTTTGAACTTTATAAACTATTTGAAGTAAATTTCTTGTGAAGTTAAAATGAGCTGTTAATACCCAACAAATGACCTTGATTTCAAAGAAGAGATAGAAAGTTGGTCATGAAGTAAAATATGATCTTGACCAGGCTCTATACTACTGATAGTGAAATATTAAATGTCTTGATAATGAAATCCCTTAAACATAGAATGGACTCTTATACCAAATGCAGAACAAATCTATTCAACAGGTTAAAAATACGGCACATGGTCATATGGCAATTTTCCAGCTTTAATGGTGGAGAAAGACCTTTGGTGCCCCTCTGTGCATTATTACACAGGTAAACGTTGCGTGGCCATGACTTACACTATACCCCCGTTCCCCCTCTACAACCCAAAACCCTAAAAAAAAAATTATGAAAAAAAAAAATTTTTATGACTAAAATATTATAATATTTTAGTCATAAAATTTTTTTTTTTCATAATTTTTTTTAGGGTTTTGGGTTGTAGAGGGGGGACGGGGGTATAGTGTAAGTCATGGCCACGCAACGTTTACCTGTGCATTATTATAGGCACGAAGGTGCACCTGAGTTGAACTACCAATATTCCGTATGCTAGCTGGATAGCTTCCTCATATGAAACAAATCAAGATTCGAACCCAAAGCAGTGAGGGACAAGTAGTTTGAAGTCAACCTTTTAACCACTCGGCTATGGACACCCCCTCGACAATTTTTTTCTACCCTGCAAACCACGTCTTAAACAAAGTGACTTACCTTTCAAGATACTGGATACAATGAGGTCCATATATTTGGCAAGCATATCTGCATTGTCAATGGCTGCTAAGGAAAGATAACTGGCAACATTGTGGCTTAACTCCTTATGATCACATGTGAGGAACTTTACAGCATATGGTATTGCCAAGTCATGAATAATCTCCATTCATACACAGCTATACAGAATCAAATTTTGGTTAACTGTATGAAATTAATTAATAAAAATCTGTCTTTAAAAAAAATTCTTTTCCAGGATTTTTAACCCAACAGACAATAAAGTAGCCATGTTCTACATACAGTTTTTGTCAATTGATTTTGCCACCCCTGAATTATTGGTTCCATTCTTATCAATTTAGCCTTGTTGTCATTTCCAGAGTAAAACAAAATCTTTATCGAACACATATCATGCCTCATGTAGCCTTGTTTTCTGAGTCCATATTGTCCTAATATCAAATACATTAACAAAATCATATAAAATCTCCTTGTACTTCAGTAAACTAAATAATATTCTGTCAAAAAATGTGGTGTTAAATAAAAGTCATGTATGTATTACAGTTGAGAAACAATACGATTTTATAAACAGCTGCAAAAACTGTACATGTATAAGGACTTTACTAGTGCCTAATCCAATAAAGGTTTGACAGCTGTGTATTTGTCCAATAGAATTCTGTATTGTACCCAACAATGTATAATAACCTCTATTATGAAACAAACTTTCAGACTTTTTTAAATCACTTTTATTATACATCACAGAAATTCTATTTGGTTGAGTATTTGTCACATACAACTCTAAAATTACTGTGATGAAATATTCTATAAATTACAGTCCACCAGCTTTGCTCAGATGGGATGGCATCTGGTTGGTAATCAAAGGGTCCCTGGTTCGAACCTTGGGCGAGACATATTTTCTCTGTGACAATTGGTGATCTCTGATATTCTTTCTTATGATCATTTGTCTTCACCTCTGGATTCAAGAAGATAAATTAGTCATTAAATATTGCTAAATATATACCAGGACATCTAAAACATATCTTCGTCCATACATATCCGGAAATCTTGATTTAACACAATATGCAATATATCTGAAATCCTGATTTTAACACATTTTTGCGATATATCGGTGAGCAATCCTATTCCTAGATCCATTGCCTACATATGACAAAAATGTGTAAAAATTGGCAAAAAAAACACATAAACTATAAATTACTGCATTTTACCATAAATAGACAACTCATAATGTCTGATGCTATTTTAACATGTGGGGGATCTGTATCTTTGACTGACTGTTTCAAGTTGTGAGAGTAACAAACTTCGAGGAGTTTAACCAGTCCAGCTGCATTCTCTTCTATACTGTGTGTCTCTCTAAAATAACAATGTGATTACAACATGTCATGAACAACAACAACTGTCCCAAGGAATTACTATTTTATATAATAAGAATGTTACAACATTTTACAAGAATTTAAAAATAACGATATAATGATAATAGTTCATAAAATAGTGTTTTTACAACAGCAGATTAAATAATAATGTTATAACAATAGTTCATAAATAACAATGCTATAACAATAGTTCATAAATAACAATAAGATAACAGCAGTTCATGAAATAACGAGAGCAGCTGTTAATAGGACAGCAAGCTCAACTGGTTTTTAGTCACACCAACTCTGTAAAGTTCATATGGAGACTTTCCAGCATTATTGAAGAAGGAAGACCTAAGATACTTCTTAGTGCATTCCTTTAAGCACCAGTCCTGAGTAGAACCACAGACATGTCACAAAGCCTTCTTTATGTAATGATAAAATATAGTTAATCATGCATGTTTTGTTTGTTTGTTTGTTTTATTGGGCTTTACATCACACCGACACAGTATAGGTCATATGGCGATATTCCAGCTTTATTGGTGGAGGAAGACCTCAGGTGCCCTTCTGTGCATTATATCAGACACGAACGAGTACCTGAGTAGAACCACTGACGTTCCGTAAGCTAGCTGGATAGCTTCCTCACATGAAAGAATTCAAAGTCCCTTTCGGGATTCGAACTTACAGCGGTGAGGGGCAAGTGGTCTCATACATAATTATATTTGAATACAAATATTATAAATCTTACCTTATTGCAGAGGTGACCCGGGTGATACATATTTCTACGACACTCTGATCATTGTCGCTTGAGGAATAATCCGGGCTCTTAGCAATCTCACAGATACTCTCCAGAACCTCCGTCAAGTCATTCTTGATGTCATTATCTTCCAGGGAAAACAATTCTCCAGCTTTCGACAGGTCTTTCCTTGTCAAAACCGTGGAAAATAGTTCATGCATCCCTGAAAAAATTTCAAAGATAATTCTATGAAGTGTTTATTCATGGTATTTTATTGGTTATAAAGATTTTTTTTAAAAGGTTATATGACCAAGTATAAATAGTTTGTTAGGTTATATAACCAAAGCTGCTATGTGACGGTTTACATAGCAAATAAATGTGTTTATACAAGGCCATATAACATACAAATGAAAAGTTTACAATTCTGTTTTCTTCCTTCATTTTAATGCATCTTTCCTTCATTAGAGTAAGTTTAAAATTACAATAATGGGATTACCTTTTTGCAATGTAATAAGTTTAATAATATACATAATACAAATAAAAAAATAAATGCAGGTTTTGTATAAGGGTTCCAGCATGTACTTAGTGGGAGTCCAAATCAATAATTCATGATGTCGAACAGCTAATCAACAACCTAACTCCTCACTTAACAAAAATGTTCACTTACTATATCTTTTATATAACAACAATTGTAAACTTCAAAGTTTTTTCCAACATTTAATAATGTTAAGTAAGAATTATGAAGCTAGCATTATAATTTTTATGCATCCACTTGGATGCAAGAGCTTGAGAACTGTGCATCCAAGAAGACTTTTAGGTGTATATTCATGCAGGATCCTGCATCCAGTAAATCCCTGAATATAGTGTTGCTGAAGTTATCCTGCTAGTGGTATCGGCTACATCCAACAACCTAACTTATGGGTTAACTCTTTATCAAGCTCTCATCCAGTAATCCAGAGGCTTAGGACTCACTCTCCAGTCAGTACTTTAGGATTAGTATTGTTTGTTTTAATGGCAACAAAGTTAAAATACTGATAATGTTTCAAGTGTGTCATTTGCAGGAAAGAAAAATAGGGCAGTGCTTCTAGCATAATCTGAGAAGAAAAAGAGTTTTTCAGGCTTTATAGAAGGACCCTAACATTTAAATTAGACTGCATCTTATGATGAGATTCGGTGGCAGTCTCCTGGAAAAGATCCTCTCTGTTTATCACTGTCTATATTTCATACAGAAGTACACTACAAATATGGAATGGGTCTTAAGGTCTAATACAGGATATAGCCCTAGATAGCTGAATTGGTATGCCTGGTTTTTATATATTTTAATTGAAATTCATTATTGACCAAAACTCCATTTCCAGCTGGATTTAGGGGCTCAAAACTAGATTTTTTCATGGACTCAAAATGTTCATAGATCTATGTAAATTTACACTGTCATTGCGAGGTAGTGTGTGCTACCTACTGAATCACAGCACATAAACTGTAAGCCTTATAAAAAGTGACAGATAAAACTTGCTGAGTTAAACATGCGAGAATAACTTTGGTGAACAACAGGGCGCATTTGTCACAGGGAAATGTTTATGATTTCACCTCGCTGTCAATAAGCAATTAAAAATATTTATTTATCATTTAATCTTCTATCATCTGGAAAATGGACATATACAATGTACTAGTCTAAACAATGCCCAGAGGCGCGATTTACATTTATATCGACAGGTATATGAATTGTTATGTTTTTATTTTTACTGAGAGACAAATATCGGTAATTAAATCTCTGATATTAGGAATCGGGACAAGGGAAACTTTTTATCCAATCGGTATAGCACATGAACGTTTTCTTGCATATTAAGACAGAATTATCTACTGTTTACACCAGTGTTAGAAAAACCTCTCCAATACCCCCAATGTAAGACAAGTCCCGTGTTTTAAATGACGTCATTACGACCGGCCTTTTAAAATTGAATTGTGTGATGACATTATTGTGCCTTTATGAATGATGTTGTAAATTCATATGCTTCCATAAGAAAAAAAGTTCTAAATGTAAATATTAGTTCATGTAAATTCTTTTTAAAATATCATTAATTTGTAATGTATGCAAGAAAATGAATCAAACACTGGTTGTTGTCACAAACAGGAATATCTAGCTCTCGGGTAACTGTTTAGCGTAAACAGTTACCATCAAGCTAGATATTCTGGTCTGTACCGGCACCGGCCGTTGTAAAATCCTTATAATCTGTAGATTCAGGGAAAATAATCAGAAAATGTGGATTGCCTGTACTGAGTATACGCGTATTGCTTAAAGCCTTAAAACTGTGTTTGACTATTAACCCAAGGATTGTCAGTTCAAGCCTTTCTCATATTTTATTTCTTGAAGCGGACTGAAAGCGATTTCATATCTTATAGCGAGCTCAACGAGCTGGCCCGAAGGGCCTGCTTGCAAAGCGAGCTATACAGTAACGCGAGTACCTGCTAAGTGATGGTTTTGAAAACTTTCGTCCGAAGTACCGAATTGGACACATGGCAACTTTTCGAATTACAAGATAACGATAAAAGCCAATGTACTCTGAATGAAAACGGAAGAGTAGACTGGTGTCCTGCGCTCTTATATAGGAACCATAATAGAAAGGAGGAACCAGAATAAACGGAAGCAGTATATAAAACACCGAATGACAAAATTAAAACGGAAAATGTAAAATAAAAATGAACGATTGTTTAAACTATCTTACAAGCTCGCTTTGAGGCTTTGCCTTTTTCATATTAAATTTCACGTCCTAGCTATTATTAATTAAATAAGTTTCATTTATACGAAACCATTGTAAACTAAGAGGAACGGTTGACTCTACAATGGTTGAATGGAAACTTATTAGATCAAATAATTTTTTTTATCAAAATTATGTCACACACAAATGGAATCCAATATACAAGTGTTAAATGAGAATCATGTAAGGGCAGCCCATGTCAGCTGTCAATATTTGGCCTGTTGGGTCATACAAATATTATCACAAACCGTATGAAGTTTAAGAAGAAAGTTCGGTTACAATAGGAGCAGATCGGTGGAACGCACCATCGGAACATGGAAAAATGACATAGAACTTATTATTTACCGGCTTGTTTCTTATCTTGATGAAAGCATGTAAAGAATTTCAAGTATTTAAAAAGGTAATCAAAAAATTCGTAAAATTCCAATTTACAGGCGGTGCAACGTTATTTTCGTCGTTTATGAAAATATAAAAGTACAGGTAAATACAATCTGATTACTTCGGCTATTATCCTTCAGGCAAAATTAAGTATGGTGTATGATCTGGGTCAAAATATGAAAAACAAGATCAACAAGGAAAGGCGGCGTTCAATGAACGCAACCCCCATATGACCCAGCAACAAGAACCAACGGCAAGGAGCCCAGGCGGACCCCAAACATAAAAAGGACAGGGCAAAGTTCCACTATACTTTTCGAAATTGTGTTGTTTTTTTTTCTCATGATTCTGAGATATTTTGGTTCTTGATAAAAAAACTTGTCGTAAGGGATTTCATTTTATGCTGTAATCCATGTTCATCGCACATTGTTCAAACCCCATATAGTCATTTCCAACGAATAGATAACGAATGGTTATTTTACCTCTCCAATGATTCCAGTACAATTTTATCCTTGATAACATATCAAATTTACCTTGATCGTGACAACAAATCTTGCATTTTTAATATTATAGTAATCCAATAAACCTGTTAATTCAAAGGCAAACGTTATTTCTTGTGAACATAGTTGTAGTTTGCTTTTAATTTTCTTTCATTTTTCATTTTAATTTTATTTTAATAGCTGCAATAATTACACATGAAGTGAACAAAGTTTTTCATGAACTTCTCACTTATGTCAGACTATGGTTATAACTGTATTGTTACTGTATTCAAACTGTTGAAGTTGAATCTCTAATGTTTGGTACTTTGTATGGACAATAGTCCAATGACATCTAAGTCATTCTATAAACAACTTACAAAACGTGTGTCTTGACTGTTTAATTTACTAATTCCAAGTGCGCTGGAGCTGCATACATTTAGGCGGGAATACATCATGTGAAGTATAGACTTGCTATAGAGATGATATAAATATATTATAAGTACATAATTCTACAAATCGCTTGATATCCGGTCCCGGTCCAAATCTTAACAGGTGAATAAACTTACGGACTTTGTTATGCAAATGACTTTCAGAGAACAGATACAAATTATTTACGAGTTATATCAGATATCATAACTCCCACTTTCGCGAGCTAACTAACATATACTTTGAATTTGCATTGAGCTAAATATAAGAACTAAATTAATATAAGATGGAGAAGAAACTGTGATGTCACACAGTTAAAATCAGTATCGGCGGAATTGTGTTCCTGCAAGTTACCATATGTCGCGAGATTTTGCGAGATTTGATACATCCTGGGTAAAATAGCCAAAATACCGCCATATTGAATTCCCGGAGGTACATCAACAAAAAAAGACTAAACATTTTTACTTATATAAGAAGCAATAGTTATTTATTCTAAAACGTACAAAACACACTTTTCCACACAAATATTTCTCCGATGTAATAATTCACGGATATTGCCGAAGTTTAACGATAGCGTGAAAATCGGAGACAAGCGGATCATCGAAGCGCGCAAAGGATTGTGGATCTGAATCGGTCTCTCGTCTATTTTCGGAGTTTCCTATCCGTTCTTTATATATCTGTGGAATTTGTGTTTTAAATAAAAACCTAATATTGTATTATTCAAATAGTATTTCCAATTTTGCATATAGTTTTACATTTTAATTTTTTTGGTACCATGTTTTAATTAAATAAATGTCGCTCTTTTATGTGACATTTTCAAGTTATACAACTGCTAATCATGAGTGTTAAACAGGCAATTATCAGTCAATTTGTAAACCTGGGACATAAAATGCTGTAGTATGTTTCAGGTGGAACATAAACGTTATGTTTCTTAATTTTATAATAGTTTTAGTATAAGTAACATATTCAAAATTTGTTTCTCTCTGGTTTATAAAGTTTTACGCAAACGGCGACTGACTTTTACACACGGAACACCTCGGCGCTGGAAATACTGCATTTCTGTTTCATTATGAATTAAAAAAAATGTTGATAATCAAAACTTTCAATTTTAAGAATACTCTTTACATAGTTATTCCAGTCCCATATATCGTCAAAAAAATTCATTTTTCTTTAATAAATTTATTGAAAAAAAAATTAGCGAAAATTTTGGGGAACTTTTATAAAATACTTTTTTGTTTCTTGATCAAGCCGGATTAAATTACAATTAGAGATCTGGTCAGCTGTAACACAATTTGAAATGAAAAAGACTATAGTTTCCTTTCGACGGTGAATTCATGGTTCTTATCGATGATTACCGAAAAGAGCCGAAAAAATACGATTGTTGTTCGGATCACCGATTATAAAAAAATATATATAGAAAAAATGGAAAATACTGGTATTTATCTGTAGCATGAATTATACAAATACATTTTTATACGTTCCTGTACTTATTATCGATCGTTCATAACTCTTCCAATGTAACCTTCATGTACACATAGTACATATCACAAGGATATTTGTTTGTTTTGCCTGCAAGATTGAAATATATTTCACTGAGTGAACACCAGATGCAGTATTTAGCTGGTGTTCACGAATGAAATATATTTCAATCTTATATGTTAAACAAATAAATTTTCTTTTTCTTTCATGCTTTTTAAGTGATTTTAAGTAATTTTTTATTGATTTTGCCGCTGACTGAGCCCTTATTACGGGGGGGGGGGGGGGGCTGTTACACGAAGGATTGGAGTTCTTTATGATAACTGTCACGGAGTTCCTGGAAAACGTTACGGATTTATATGGAAAACTTTTCTATATACGTGGATAACTCACGTGAAAAATTGTCATTTTTACCTTTAATGGGGGAGTTTGAGGTGCTAAATTAAACTTTGATAACTAAACTTGCCCTACATATTGTATTATATTTCAGAAAACCCTTTTAGTCCATTTGTCATCGCCTTTTTAATTTAAAAAATCTGGTAGTTTTGAGTAAAATTTACAAATAACTTGCTTATTCGTACATATTGACTTTTTCATTTGTCTTCTCCGTTGCTATACTTAACATACCTAATTATAACGGAGAGTTGCAAACCTAAAGCCCATGCAGGCTAATAAATTTATACCTGATTTTTCAAATGTCACGGAGTTCTTGTGATAACACAAAATATGTCCTGGAGTTCTTATGATAACTTTTGTTACTGCGAGTATGCTTCTTGTACTTAATTACGGTACGTTTAAGCGTATTTTGTTATTTAATAAGCAATATTTAACATGTAAATTATTATATAGCCACAAACTGTGTGGTAATAAACAATCTTTACTGAATATCTTCACCAGTTATTAGAAGACCTTATTTCTAGTAGAAGTGAACTGTATAACAAGGAAACATCAGTTACTTCTACAGAACTGTCAGAACAAAAACAACAGGTTATATTCTACATTTCTGGCTTTGTAATATGTGCTCTTCAAAAACGCCTGAAGAGTCTTAAATCTGATGAAAAGGAGGCCCTTATTAATTAATGGTCTTAGGCAATTGAACAAAACAAACACAGAGTACAGTCTCAGCAAAATTTTCAATCTGGACAAACAAACTTGATAGAGGGGGGTTTAAAGATACCTAGTGATGACATGTTCTTTTTGATAAGGGAGTTTGAAAATCAATTTAGGAAAGAAGTGAAAGAAACAAATCTTACACAGAATGCTCTTGAAACTACAGTTCTCAAAGAGGCTATCATGGACAAGTTCATGGTAAAATATTATGCAGAGAGACTTGTTCCAGGGAAGTTTACTTTAAGTATTTTGGAAAGAATACTATCATTTTTTTCTGACAATACGTGGCAATGCCATTGCAAGGAAGAAAAGATTAGAACTTGTTAAAGCCACTGAAAAAAGGCAATGCGTAAAGTGTTGAAGGAAAAAAGTATTAAGTAAATTTAAAAGAATGAATATTATACCAAGTCACTTAGCTGAGTGTAACAAATAGAAAATAAAAAATGCTTATCAGAAACTGAATTATGTAAGCCTATTACATTATCTCAATCAAGATACTGCCTAGGTATTAAACTGTATGACATGCCATTTCTGTTTACATGACTATGTACATTTTGTTATGTATATCTTTGTACACTTTTAAATGTTCATCTTGTTTGTATAACAATAAAGATAGATTTCATCAAATTGTTAGTTTATATTATGTCATTCAAGATCAAATATGCAATGATATTAAAGTGCTGAGTCATTAAGAATAATTCTGCAAGAATGGTAAAGACTATACCAGTTGTAAATCATATCATAGCATAATTCCATTTCAACTTTGAATCACAGCCAACACATTAAAGTGTATTGTTTCGTTTGAACTTGTTTCAACTTTGAATCACAGTCAACACATAAAAGCCAGTGCATTGTTTACCGCTTAGGTAACGGAGTGTTGTCTATTGGAGTTAGCCTAAGTTTTATTTTTGTATTTCCTTTTAGAGGGGCTAGGGCTTGGCCTCCAACAGTTGTCAGTCTGAATCCGAAATTTTATTTCAAGTTGGATTGTTATTGCTACCTCCACTACTTCTGTGTATCCCAAAGCGTTGTTCAATTCTATTTGAAAGACCCTGACCTGAAACTTAAGAACGCCATTTGTAAATTCATAAAAAGCGCACACGGCAATGACAACATTTAAGGCACGCGACTTGTGTTACATGGGGAATGTAAGACAGGTTTTTGTAGCACAGGTGTAAATGGTAGAAACTTTGACATGCAAGAATTTTGATTCTTTCATGAAAGGAATCTATATATCCAGCTAGCAGCTTACGGAACGTCATTCTGCGGTTCTACTCAGGTGCCCGTTCGAGCCTGAAATAATGCAAGGAGGATCACTTGAGGTCTTCCTCCACTAGTTAAGCTGGAAAGTCGCCATATGACCTGTACTCTGTGGAGGCGACGCATAATAAAACAAAGAAGATAGTAATTTAAATGTTTTTGAAGTGATGGCATAAAACTGCTTCCGTAGTTTTACCACCAACACAAACTACCTTATCTCGGACATATACGAATTTTTCGCAACAAAAATATTATAGACACCGCTTAGTCGGAATGCTTTTGTAATCACCATAAAGACAAGGCAAACAGATAAGGATGGCAGGGTTTAGTGGAGCTC